TGTCCCAGTCTCCTCATCCATAAAATTGAGCTAATAATATCTGCTACTAGGTTGACATCAGTTAATAAAAAGAACTTAAAATTTGCCCTGCACATATGAATTATTTTACAAATGTATTATTCTTAGTATATTCATGTAAACACAACTTGTTATTTTTAAGTTGTTGACTCAATCATTAGTGACAGCTCGGAACACTTAATTGTGTTTAAAAGCATAATGCAAATGTTTTAAACCCTGAAGCACAGCCCAGCTGACAGAAATTGGTGGAAAAGGAAGGGGAAGAGATGTAGGGAGAGTAGCCATCTTAATTACTCATCTCGCAAAACAAGAGTTCAAGGCTAAAATGGGTAGCATAAGAAAGGGAGAGTCAAGAAGCTACTTAAATGTGGAGAAAGGGGAACCCTTGTACACTTTTGGTGGAAATGTAAATTTGTGCAGCCACTGTGAAAAACAGTATGGAGGTTTCTCAAAAAACTAAGAATAGAGCTACCACATGACCCCGCAGTTCCACTCCTGGGCATATATCTGAAACAACCAAAAACACTAATTTGAAAAGATACATGCTCCCCAATGTTCATAGCAGCATTATTTCCAATCGCCAAGATACAGAAGCAACCTTAGTGTCCATCAACAGATGAATGGATAAAGAAGATGTGGTATATATATATATATGCAATGGAATACTACTCAGCCGTTAAAAAGAATGAAATTTTGCCATTGCAGCAACATGGATGGACTTGGAGGGCATTATGCTAAGTGAAATAAGTCAGACAGAGGAAGACAAATACTGTAAGATATCACTTATATGTGGAATCTTAAAAATACTAGAAACTAGTGAATATAATAAAAAGGAAGCAGACGCACAGATATAGAGAACAAACTAGTGGATAGCAGTGGGGAGAGGGGGGAGGGGCAACAGAGGGGTGAGGGAGGTACAAACTATTGGTTGTAAGGCAGGCTCAAGGATGTATTGTACAACATGGAATATAGCCGATATTTTGTAATAAATATAATGGAAAGTAACCTTAAAAATTGTATAAATTTTTTTAAAGTAATTAAAATATAGGCAACAACAACAACAAAAAAGAAAGCTACTTAAAGCTACCAACATAACCACAAGGAACATTAGAAACAGTGATGTAACTATTGAGAAGGGATAGGAAAGGAAGAAGGCAATGGGCTTAATCTTTGTGGAGCTGAGAACAGTGACCACCTGCGTGAACACTGCCTGGCAGTTAGGACAAAAAGCAATGATAACCTGTGTCCACATGACCAACTTGTTTGTACCAGAAAACCTTTGCCTGGAAAAGAAAGATTATTCATCAATAAATAACTTTACCATCACCTTCAGGAAAGTCCAGCAGATCACATTTTTTTTAGACAACAGCTCACTTGGGAAAACATCTCGCTTGTCGAATGTTTTCTTATCCAGTCTCATTTTTAAGACCTTCACTTCACTGCGTAACAATTCATGTCCAATTCCAGTGGTTCCAACCACCCAAGCATAGGCCTCAAGAACCTATAAACTTATGTTCTGACCTTCTCTCTCAGACACTGCTGAAACTCTACCAAGCTGGTGTTCTCCCTTATTGCACTAATTTTTCGCTTTGCTTTATTTATGGCTTGGTAATATTCTGGAGGAATTCAACAAAGCAAAAAGTCAGAAGATAAGGTCGAGTTGCTAATTCAACAGACCGGGGTAGAAATGTAGTATCTGGAGATTTGAATGAAGCACCAGTATAGATACAACAGAAGTGTATAGAAATAGTCACCTCAGAAATGAAGCTTAGAAACAGGCATCTCAAGAATGGAATTAAGTAGAAGAGGATGGTTTTCAATTGAGGATTTTATGCGTTACTTCAATTTGACGTATGAATTTTGCTTTGACAAAACCTAGAAATTTACACTAAATGAAAAGATAGTAATGATCAGAAGTGCAAAAATCAGCACTAAAATATTATTCTTCAGTTCTTCTGGAATGTGACACCCTATGGACCTTTCAAGATTTTTCTTGATTTAATTGGATTCTGCTGGCCCAGCAGAGTATCTGGTCCATAGTAGGTATTCAGATTCATTAAACATTTGTGGCATTGAGCTGACATTGGAATCTCACAGCATTAAAAAATACTTAGATATTTCCAGTGGTTAAGATGCTGTTTCTTTATTGGTCTATTAATTTGAGTTTCAGTTGAATCAGCTGTCAGTTTTGGGGGTGTGTTTGGAGACCATCCTTTGGAATCAGGAATGAAGTAGGAATGCAAGAGAAACAGAGGAATTAACCTGGTGACGTTCCTTTTAAAGTTCATTCTGAGCTTGTTCTTGAGGATTCAGGGCTACGAGGTAAGCACATATGGTAGGTAAGGTAATGTCCTCATCAGATCTCCCTTCCAGAGAGAACCTTCCACGAGGAGGCCAGCTGCTGCCCTTTGGCCTCCTTTGGAATCCACAGTGTCATTCATGCAGAGATGCACTTTCCCGGCCCCATCCCTAGCCTGTCACTGAGGATAGTGAGGAAGCAGAGCCGGGTCATCCTTGCCCAAAGCAAGACTCCAAGGCTGTCTTTGCTCCGGGGCTGCCCGCTGGCGCAGCCAGGACTTTCTCAGATCCATGCTGTGGTCAGAGGCCCCTCCCACCTCCTCTCTCCTCTCACAGGTAGACAGACCTGCATTGTGGTCCAAAGGCTTTCCCTCCCTCCCTCCTGCTGTTCCCATTTACTTCCTCCTTCCCAGGAATTTCCCCCAACAAATCTGCACACCTCTTTCTCTGTAGGCATCTGCTTCTGAGAAGCCCTGAACTGCTATAGGTACAGAGCCAAGGAATTCATTTATGGTGGTGAGGGGAGAGCAGATGTCTGTCCTCTTTTTTCCAAAAAACTGGAAATGTGTTTCCTGGGCGCTTCTCCTCTTACAAGGAGCTTAAGGAATGTTGGGAAGCCTTTTGTTTTGTTTTGTTTTGTTTTTTTAACATCTTTATTGGGGTATAATTGCTTTACAATGGTGTGTTAGTTTCTGCTTTATAACAAAGTGAATCAGTTATACATATACGTATATCCCCATATCTCCACCCTCTTGCGTCTCCCTCCCACCCTCCCTATCCCACCCCTCCAGGCGATCATAAAGCACCGAGCTGATCTCCCTGTGCTATGCGGCTGCTTCCCACTAGCTATCTACCTTACATTTGGTAGTGTATATATGTCCATGCCTCTCTCTCGCTTTGTCCCAGCTCACCCTTCCCCCTCCCCATATCCTCAAGTCCGTTCTCTAGTAGGTCTGTGTCTTTATTCCTGTCTTACCCCTAGGTTCTTCATGACATCTTTTTTTCTTAAATTCTATATATATGTGTTAGCATATGGTATTTGTCTTTCTCTTTCTGACTTCACTCTGTATGACAGACTCTAGGTCTATCCACCTCATTACAAATAGCTCAATTTCATTTCTTTTTATGGCTGGGTAATATTCCATTGTATGTATGTGCCACATGTTCTTTATCCATTCATCCGATGATGGGCACTTAGTTTGTTTCCATCTCATGGCTATTGTAAATAGAGCTGCAATGAACATTTTGGTACATGACTCCTTTTGAATTCTGGTTTTCTCAGGGTATATGCCCAGTAGTGGGATTGCTGGGTCATATGGTAGTTCTATTTTTAGTTTTTTAAGGAACCTCCATACTGTTCTCCATAGTGGCTGTATCAATTCACATTCCCACCAGCAGTGCAACAGTGTTCCCTTTTCTCCACACCCTCTCCAGCATTTATTGTTTCTAGATTTTTTGATGATGGCCTTTCTGACTGGTGTGAGATGATATCTCATTGTAGTTTTGATTTGCATTTCTCTAATGATTAATGATGTTGAGCATTCTTTCATGTGTTTGTTGGTAGTCTGTATAACTTCTTTGGAGAAATGTCTGTTTAGGTCTTCTGCCCATTTTTCGATTGGGTTGTTTGGTTTTTTGTTATTGAGCTGCACGAGCTGCTTGTAAATTTTGGAGATTAATCCTTTGTCAGTTGCTTCATTTGCAAATATTTTCTCCCATTCTGAGGATTGTCTTTTGGTCTTGTTTATGGTTTCCTTTGCTGTGCAAAAGCTTTGAAGTTAGGAAGCCTTTTTGAAATTTCCCTGGAGAAATGGAGAGGAAGGGCTCTTAATTTGCATGCCTCCTTTTCTGGTCAGCTCCGCAGAGGATCAACTTCATACATTAGACCATGCTCACTGGGCAGCTGCTCCGTATTTTAGTAAATTTTCTAAAATGAGCCTCAGCATCAGTAGATAGGTGAGGTGCTGGTTGCATGTAAAAGCACAGCTTGTATGACATGGACTGTGAGAGAGAAACAGCCCTGTGTGTGAGTGCAGACAGGGTTTGTGCCACTGTGGTTGGCAGGGACATGCGGCACCCAGACCGCCCGCCTGGCCCTGTTTCCCTGTCGAGGCACTACTCTGATGGATGGTGCTCACTCCAGAGCTCCCTTCTGGGTTGCTCGCTGCTTCCTTGGCTCTTCCTTGCAAGTTCAACTTCCCCTCTGCCTTCTACAAGCCTTGGTCCCGGAGAAGCATCTGGAAATCCAAACTCCTTTTGCTTTGAATCCAAGCTGCATCAGGCACTGAGTGTAAATGTGAAAGAAAAGAAAAAAAAGAGAACAGATAAATGAATTCACAGAAAAGGAATTTGCAGCAGATGAGGAAATAAAAATAAATAGAGATGTGTTGGTTTCTTAGAAAATGTTTTATAACCCTGGGAAGCTACTTTGAATGACTAGTGTCTGCAGTGTTACAGACCAGAAACTGTTGGCCTGCAGGGTCCAATAACACAGATATACACATGTGAGGTTTTCCCAAGACCTGGACGTATCCTGTGTGTGAGAGCCACTTGCTCGTGGAGCTTCGTTTCTATGGAAGCATCAGGAAAAGAAAATCACTTTTTGTCCCCGGAAAGTATACTCTGACAGTGGAAAGTCAAATAAATGTATTTTTTTAGGGAACAGTAGGGAGACACAGAGCAGATGGGCTGCCAACTGAAATTTTATTAGGCAAGCATATTCCGAGTGGTCAGGGAGAAAGAAGACTTCAGCAGAGCTTTTTGATAAGTGATGCCGGAGACAAATTCCAAAGGAGAAGTTTTGGTGGAGATGAGTTGGGAGTGGGAAATGGGTTGATCATTCCTGGCTGCAAGCTGCAAAGGGGGAATCCTCTTAGCTGCCTGCTGAGTTGTTCCCTGGGCAACAGTGTGGTTCCGTGGTCCAGATGTGGCTTGGGGACCTGGGTTCGAGTCCAGCTCTGTCCTGGCTGTCACTTAGCAGCTCTGCCATCAGCTTCCCTGGGTCTCAATGGCTTCATCTATAAAACAGATTTAAATAGCTACCTATTAAGGTTGTTGTGAGGCTTAAATACATGTGTTTGGGGAATACCCTCCAAATAGGTTGGAAAATGTTATATTTGGGGAAGCCTTGGTTGGTTAGCTGAGGCGTGCCCCTGTGAGGAGGAGTATATTCATTAAAATCTCCTGTGTTAACCAGAAGCCATCAGGGAACCCTGGACACTCAGAAAATTAGATTTTAGAGGGAGACAGTTACATTCGTGGGGTTATCTGTGGTCCCTTCAAGGTGGAGAAATACACTGAGGCCTCAGGTCATTCCCTATGAACCATCACCTGTGCCCTGTCCTTTAACACAAGTTCTTAATCTTTTATTTGTCCTGGGCTGCAACTTCATTTTGTCTGTGATGGTAACTCCATAAGTAAAAATCTTGTGTTAAATTAGAGGCTATGGGGGCTCAACTAGCTATAGGTTCTTAAAAACATACTAAATTAGTTAGAATGCTGGAAAATTATTGCCCGTCTTCGGCATACGTGCGCACGCGCGCACACACACACACACACACACACACACACACACACACACGGAAACATTTCCATGACAGCAAGTATGCCTGTGTCTTAGTTCTTTCTTTTGGGGGGAAAAGAAATCCAACATGTAGACAGCAGATGGCGACAGTTGATCGTATTTAAACTACAGGTAAACTAGGTTTTAAGGAGTGTTTGGAAGCAATGCTCTCCTCAGTTACTTTTTGTTTGTTCTTTTCTTCTTGTCAATAACGTCAAGATTGCGACTCAGTGGAATTAAAAGCAATCATGAAGGTGATTGTAAGGAAACATACCAACTCAAACTAGGGTTTAAGGCCCTCAAAAACATTGTTATATTTACTTTCAAGCACTTTTTAACAGCAAGTTTTAGAAGGGAGAGGAGTAAAGGGCCAAATACCTTGGACAATCACCCAATGTGGGTAGTCTGATTAAAATCACTGTTCATTTCTGGAGTGCTCAGAGGCACTGCGTCCAAGCTGTGTTCTTTGTATTCTGCTGTCACATACAATTATTGGCCAAAAATTGCAGGCCGGGCCCCTAGAGGATATGTTTTACAGGTCATGAATGTTCTTAATGTTTAATTCTTTTCAGAGCTTCACAAAGCCGCGTGAATTCCAGGCCTGAGTTTTGTTCCTGGTTATCTGTCCACCATCTTGTGCCTGCAGATGGGATGCAGGGGACACTCTGTGTCTGGATGTGGGAAGAAAAACCGTCAGAATGTTAAATTTCTCTCTAGACATAAACTTCTTGTGCAGAAATGTATTGTAATGCTGGGACACACAGTTGTCCACGGAGCAAAAAGAAGGGCTAAGAAGAACACAGGAAAAATTAATAATATAAACCACGTATATAGTTATTTGTGAAGGTCAGTGTCAAGATCGGGGAAGTTTACAAAATATGTCAATGACAGCAAATGAAAACTGTCCACACGCTGACTACATATTTCCTCACTTTTAAAGATGACATTAAAATGGAAGATCCTTAGCCGTTCCCCGAGTATTAGTATTTTAAAGTGTTCTATTGCTTCAGCATCATGATAACACAAGAGAGAGGATGCTTGTATTTGCAGTCAGGCAAGGTCAAGCTGGAAGGCCAGAGACAGGGAGTGGAGGAAGATGTATGTGTGTGTATGTGTGTGTGTGTGTGTGTGTGTGTGTGTGTGTGTGTAAAGAATATTCTTATCTTCGCTTTGTGTCAGAGATCCTATACGCCTGGCAGTTTTCTAGGTTTTGTCTCCACTCTAAAGCTTGCTGTTATTTCGCGATCTAAATGAAGGACGTTTGTGCCCCCTCACAAAATCCTTCCAGTTATCTAGCTAGTTATATTCATCCAGTTAATGCAGGTATCGAGAAACAAAACAACAGACAAAACCCCAAAACAAATTTGTAATGAAAAGTTTTAGGATTAATTCTTTGTAATTTTATTCCAGCTGATGTCTTCATTGAATATCCTGAGTAAGTTTTTAAGCAACCAGCCATAAAACAATATACCTGTAACATCTGCTTATTTGTGGAAGTGTGAAAACTATAGATGTGGCTACATAAGGAAAAAAAAAACTGAAGAAAATCAATATAAAACATAGATAATTTCAAAGCAACTGATTTGAAACTAACTTCCAAATATCTTTAAAAAATTGGAATCTAAAAAAATATTCTGTAGACCATTGGTTGACTGAATTTAAGCATTTTTTTAAGCAAAAAGAAGCAAAGATTTGAACACAGTACTTGTTATATTAATGTGGCACTAGAAACCATATAAAGGTTAAAAATTAGGGAAATCATTTAGCAAATGAAGGCATGTTCATTCATGAAGATGTTTTATTGTTAGAATAGGTAATTGACATGATCATATATGTTCTTAATATTTTTGTAAATGTAAAGATACAGAGTTGTACAAACAGTATGAATGCTAAAACACCATAGATTTTAAAATAATTTCATAGAAAATTAGAAGAAAATGTACTAATATTTCCATACTAGAAACACTTAGGAGTGGTGTTTTGGTTAGTTTAAAAAATTTTTCCCTATTATTCCCCCCGCTGCAATTTTAATGGCTCTGTACTTTTGATTAGGAAGAAACATACAAGACACGTACAGATGCACAGTTTAAGCTGTGTATAGTTGTGTTTCCAGCCTCCGTTTATTCTTTCTCAAAATGAAGGCATTATCGTATCCCATGGCTCTGTAGCATAACAACCCTCGGAGTATTAAAAAAGAAAAAAATACTTAAATACTTAAAGCGACTAATAAGAGTTATATGAATTTTAGAGGTGGCTTTTTGGTAGCTTTGTTATTAAAATAAGACTCTTTTTTAGCGAGAAAACATGTGTCATTGGTGATACAAGAGTAGAGCTTTCCCCTCCTGTAAAATAGCACCATGTCTGACTTGGGACCCTTAGAGAGTTATTCCTTTTGGTTAAAATGCTGGCCTCTAGAATTGCTCTTGAAAGTAAAAGTGGAGACTGCTAGAGTGCCAGCTCTCCTGAGATTTTTGAATCATAAAGAGCAGCGCAAGAGTTCTCAGACCAAATGTGCCCAGTGGGGAGGAGGGCCAGAGTTAAGGGAAGGGAAGCTCTCCCCATAGTTCAGCCCCAGGCGGTTTTCAGGGAACACTGATCACCACCCACTCAATCCTGCTCACAAACAAAAACACAAATAAGCCCAGGTCAGCATGGTCTGTGCCTCCGGGGAAACAGGGTGGCCTCACAAGGCTCAGCACCAACACCGTGGCCCTGAGACATGGCAGGCATCTTGGGACATCTTCCTGTACCTTCATCCTCTCCACCCTGTGCAGAGAAGCCACGCTTTGCTCCTGGCAGAGGCCTGGTGTGGATGGCTGGTTGGTCTGAACGAGCCCGTGAGTGAGTCAGCAGTTAGGAACGAGGGGCTGGCTTTGATGAGGGCAGCTGAGCTCCATACTGTGGCTACAGGGAAACCTCCTCTGGGCCTTGGACCATCCCCGCACTGTCTCCAGCACTGGTGCAGACAGTTAGGAATTGACTGTATTCCACCAAATGGAGAGTCACTCATTTCTAGCAAATTTCCCAGAGTTCCCCCCTCCACCACCCTTCGAAACTCCTCAGTGTGTACTTTTCCTGCCTGTATTAACAATCGGGGAGAAGGTAGGGGACAGGGAGCAGCAAGCTCATTCAGAGGACTTTCTGTGCAAACCCAAGAAAGAGACCTATTTGCAACTCTGTGGCAGGGGCCCCCCTTCCTGCGCCTAGCCTGTCACTCTTCTGTCCAGTTTCCTGGGCTTTTGAGGGGGTCTCCACAACTATTTGTCTTTTTGCATAGAGAGGAAGGGGGCAGGAGGAGGGGCGGGTGAGGGAGAGGAGAGGAAAGGAAAACACAGTTGTGCCTTCTGGAGAACACTATTAGGACCCAGACATTGTGGTTATGGGTTTGTGGGGTAGTTGCTGTACTTCCTGTAAATTCCAGTCTCATTTCACAGCTTAAGCAAATACGCATTCGGTGGCTGTAGAAGAGTCATAGAATAGACAACCGTGTCCTACATAAGTATCATTACAGTCATGTAGAGGAATAAAAGCATTAACATATGGTGATGTATAATATAGCAGGTGCCCAATCTGGGACCCCCAAACCTTGTGAAATTTCAGGCTTTTTCCCCCTCCTTATTCTAATGGGTATTTTATTTTATAAAATCACAGTGAGTGACACAAAGGTCTAGTAATTGCTGAAACTTATAGAGTATTTGCTAGAGGGCAGAGACAATTCCAAGGATGTACAACAAAAAGAAATTTTTAACCTTGTTGGTTTGAATCTCTGCAATCAGGTACAGAGCCAAGAATTAAAACCTTTAGAAACACTCGTAAATTGGGATCACATGTGTTTGTGTAGAAAGCACTCCTATGCGTTATTGACACCTTTGTGTCTTAAATGCATACACAAAAGGTATCTTAAAGGTATGTATTTATAATATTTAAGGTACCTTTGAGGTATCTTAAAGGTATGTATTTATAATATTTAAAAGCGTGTTTTAGATATTTATGCTGCACAAAGCACTTTTAATTTCGTATGGCTTTCTGGGTGTGTGTGTATTATTTTTCACTTAGTTTTGGTGACTTCTTAAGTCTGTTTTCCAATCTTCACCCCCACCCCGGCCCCACCACCTTTCTCTTTCCCAATCTCTCTCTTTCCTTAAAACAAGGCAGCTAAGTTGCCCTTAGTTTCAGACTTGAAAGATTTAGTAAGCAAAAATGCTTTATAACATTTTCAGTGGGAGTTCTTAACAGATGTATTCTCCCTCTTGAGGCTTTCCCTGCTGTTTGATCTTTCTCTCCAAAGCAATTCGTTACAATATGATGGGCAAAACCCCAGGCGGGATAATTATGCCGAGTGGACCGGCAGCCAGAACACTGCATCCATCCTTCAGGACGAAAGCTGTCACCCTGCAAGGCTGCCCCAGCCAGTGTGGCTGTGGACTACTGAGGGGCCAGGGGAAGGGTAGGAGG